TTATTAGAGAGGTATATGTAGTGATGGAATAGATTAAATTTTATGTTTTAGTAAATTAACACTTGACTTAAAAGAATAATAATAAATTAAAAGTCATACGTGATGAGTTATCTCAATTTTGATGATCAAAATTAGTTTATATGTTTAAATTAACGTTATCTCATATATCTTTATTTACTCTTACTTAAAGTCATACAGGATGAAAAAAACATAAAGTTGAACTTAAAATGAGTCATAATATAGGTTGGCTGCCAGTAAGGAAAATACATGAATGAGCTTGCTTAGGTTATTGCTTGGCTTAAGCCCGTTCTCCTTGATTTGATTATTATGGATTCCAAGAGTCTTGTAAAGTGCTCCAAAATTTGATTCCCAAAGCACCTATTTTGACATTGGAGTAATTTCAATCTGCCATGATCGGTATATTTTGTTTACATTGCCAAAAATACCCAATTTATGTTGCCACGATGCTTCAAATGCAGAATATTTATTGCAGAACATGAGACCTTAATATGTATCGCACATCTATAGAACAAAGTGTAGTTTAATATGGTAGGTATCAGTTTGAAAGAGGAACAAGTGAAATTTGATTTGCCTGAAAAGATGGTTTCTAAGAACTGATTTATTAATTTCTATGAATATGAGCTATACTGCTTTACAAATCTCAATTTACGATTGCTAGCTTTCCGCCAAACCCCATAAACTTCCAAACCCTAGCCATTCAACTCACAAAAACTCCACAATTAAATCCGCCCTCACACACAAGCTCTCTGCCTCCTCTCAAAACCCCACATTGTCGAGCTCTATAAATTCAAAACCTCTTCAATGCCTTCCTCCCTCCCAATTCCTCTATAAAAGAGAAACCTTTAATCCACTATAAAATTCAACAACATACAGCCATCACTCTTCAATCATAAGATTCACATTTAAGAAAAAAAAATTTTCGCTGTCCAATTCTAGTCAGAGACTATATTTTGTTTCATTTGTCAGGCATCCTATAGATGTGTCATTTTATGTATCACAGTAGTAGCTGATTTTAGCATGGGTTTTATGCACTTTGCTATTTTTGGAATTGGATTTGCTTTGTAACATATGGATGCTTTCATAGATGCCAGGAAAGATAAATGTGTTATACAGTTTTAATTATGAATCTCATAATAAAGAAATACCATTCTCTTTTAACATAATGATTAGTATATTTTAAGTTTAAAGTGTTAAAAAACTTATAAGCAATGACTAACCAATATCAAAGAATTTGTACCATTGTGATGTACGGTGAAGGGATTTAGGGTTTTTGATGCAATTTAATGTGAGATACTCAATGAAACACAAATAAAATTCATAATGTAAGTGCTACTAATTCATAAATTCAGCAAAAATTTATCACTTTTAATGCAAGTTCAACCAACATGTATTCACTCCAAGAGATATTTAGCAATTACCCAAAGTATAAAATTCCGTTAGAAAAATAGTAGCAAACAAAAAAATGTAGCAACGACAAAGTTCATGATTCCAAAAGATCAACTTAGCATGAATCTTACTTGATAAAGTTTAAATTACATAGCAAAATCAGCCATCTACTATATAATTTAAAAGGTAGGAACATTGATAGAAATTATCATAGAGGGAAGTATCAGGCCACACATCAGTACAAGGAGCCTCCACCCAAAATCGTTAACACATGTTAAGAATTCGGAGAACACACATCCAAATATCCAATAAGCACACATGAGAAGGGAGGGAAAATGAATTGTGGTTTCAATATTCAGTCTTCTGATGAATTTTACCTGCTTAAGAGGGTTCTAATTTTAGCCTTCAAAGGACCCAAAATATATTTTTAAATAAAAGCGGATATATGGATTGAGCTAAGTTCTTTATATAATATATGTTTAAAGTTAAAATTTAATATTTAAGATACGCGTGCCAAACATGTGCGTTTGTTAAATTTTTTATTATTTTTTAATTGAAATGTAGATGGCATGTCTGATCTGTATCGGGCATATGCTGAGCAAGTGCATATGTCATGCGTGTTTTCAACTTGATAGTTTTATTATTACGAAATGTTAGTGTATTATAGCCATGCAATAATGAGTTAGACCTAGCAGAGTATTCAAAATACTAGAGAACACTTCTCATTGGTATAGGAGCTAATATCGTAAGCATGCCTTTACAACCGGAATAAGCTAGGAAGCAATAACTAATGAACATAGATGATGAGGTCATCGATAGGAGATTTCGGCGCGTCTATCAGAGACAACCACGGAGATCGACGGCCATGATTGCTAGCCTTTATTATTGATTTTATTTGTACCATCAGTTTTTATATTATGCTTTTATTTCTTTGCATCACATCAATAGATTTTATATTTACATCATTTTGCCTAACTTGGAAAAATTCATCTGTGATAAATTAAATATTTGATATCTTTCATGGAAATATGAGCAAATTGGTCTGCTCCTACAAATTAATTCATAAAGCTTGTCATCCAATGACACAAGAAACTTGTGATATCCATCATTAGTAGTGGATATTATCTTTGCATAGAAGTTAGCTTTTATATCGAGATAATTGTATCCATGTGGTATGATATTTGATGTAAATTCACAAAGTCTGGATGAAAAGATAGAAGAATTCATGGTTATATAGCATTATATTCATGAAATAATGTCAAAGTATATATGTTGAAGATAAGATTATTGTCATTACGTCACATGATATCCAATTTATAAGCATTGGTCCCAATATAATGCAAAATTCTTTATGGATTCACCTTCCTTGTCTACAGTTTTGTTAAATTTATAATTTCCATAATTAATTATCTGTCTCTTACAAATTCCTTCGAGCAAATTATACAAATGATATGAAACAAATAATATAAATATGAAAATGGTAATGTATGTCCTAAGGGACACTAATGCTGATTTATGATCTAGTCTTATATGATTTGATGGCAATAGAAATTGGAAACATGCAATCCACATAAATATGAAATTTTTATATGGAATAATAATCTCCTTAAAGAAAGTTAACCCAAGTAGCTTAATTATCAATGTTATAATTTATACACCTTGACATTCATCCATATAGATGGGTGCTTAGAGTTTAAATTTCTCTTAAGATATTCCTTACTAACAATTTTGTTGAAGTACTCTGTCAATTTCACTTTCTTATTAAGTTGTCTATAAATTTGTAAATCTAGAAATTGAGAAGCAAATATAAAATTAATTGAGTTTGATTGGTGTAAATAACTTCATGAAAAGTTTTATTAGGATTTAAGTCAGTTTGTTCAAGTGATTTATCCTCTTTCATAACATGTTTACGTTTCCCTTCAAGATTCATTTTATCAGGTAGCTTAGTAGACTCATCTACTACAATATATGTTTTGCTCACTTTTATATTCAAGGTGACATATAATTCGATTTGAAAATTAGCTTTCATATCAAGAATAGATTATATTTATGGTTGGTTTAGGTTCAAATATGATTGTGTATTTAATGTTAGTTTCACATTTGGTCTCTATTTGAGGAATTTTTATTGGGTCAGGTAACCTGATTTAGAGATACAACAGGTACCCAATAAAAAAATGCCACATGCACTTTAAACAAAAAACACCCAGCTTTAAACAAAAAGTAAGTGCATGTGGCATTTTTTTATTGGGTACCTGATGTATCTCTACACCAGGTTACCTGACCCAATAAAAATTCCTATTTGAGGCTTAGCTTCAGAATTTTTCTCACACTCAAATTTGATTTATGCTAAATTTTTTACTCTTGTTCAGATAGCAGTTCTGTTTACTCATAAGTGATCTCATCCTCAACTTTAAATTTTGGTTGCCACTCTTGTTCAAGTATATGTTTGATTCATAAATAGATTCACATTCAGATTCAATGCAATTTAATAGAGACTCAAACTCAAATACGAACTTTAACTCTTGTTCATGTGTAGATTTAGGAATAAGTGTTAATGTCGTTGCATATAAAAAGTGAATTATAAATCTTAATCTGATTCATCTTTAAATGGATATTCATGAATTTCAGTTTCTTCAATGAAACAAGATTTGAGTCATTTGATTACACGTGATTCTTTTACCGTTATAGGTTTGACATTCCTGAGAGGAGAAGATAACAATTACTCTGTAGCAATTTTACTTATGGGTGTGGTATAACTAATTGACCGTTCATAATAATGTGCCTCAATATTCAAAGATTTGATTGATACCTCACTTAGTATTTTTGGTAAGTTGTGGTTTAAGCAACCATAATCTCTTGCCTAAAATCTTTAATAAAAACATACGATGATAATAAAGTTGTATCTAGGTAGACTACATTTAACTACAAGACTTATAACTCTAGGTAATATGCACAAACTATAATCACTTTATCTACAGCCTTTAAAATGATTATACAATTAGTTCCAATATTCTCCGTATGAAATACATTATTCTTTAATTCTGTCTCATCTCATTTTGATTGTTTTTAAATTGCATTATTGTACATTAAGTTCAAAAATGTTTAACTTATTTTATTTCCATAATTTTTTATCCAACTTATAATACAAAAATTGTATCGTTCAACAAAATATTTTGGAATTTCTATCCAGTAAGAAAATATATCTGTGTTATGTCTCCCTTCAAATGCATGCACGTAATTTTGACTTTCATGATAGTTACATTGTATTTGTTTAGAGCCGTAAGTTGCCTGATTTTGCTTAAATCATATCTCAAGAATTGATGAGAATCATTGTGCTTCTTAAGCTTCATTGCCATCAGTTGGAAGATCATTAGTGAGGTTTGTTAATGGAGAAGAAATTTTGAGAACCTTTTTTTTTTATAAACTAATATCTAGATAATATGTTAAGTAGAAGTTTGACTTCTAATTAAAATAGAAGAATGTATAAATCCCTTTTTTTTATGAAAGTGAAATTCGGTGTTTTCTTTGACTGAATTAGATGTGGATCATACCTAAGATTTCAAGTTCATTGTGATTAAATGCCTGAAGCTTGTCTTTATGTAATAGGATATTTATAATATCAACCTTGGTATTTCTTCTGCAGTTATGCTATCTCTCTAGTTTCTCATTGTTAACTATTTCACTTACAATACAGGCATTTTATAAAGTTCTACGTAGTTGGGCATCTAAGAAGTTCATGACAGGATGGTCAGTCCTTTATTTTCTATTCCAACATCATTTTTATTTTTACACTGATGCTCCATAACATTCAACATGGCTGCTATTCGGTTTTCTCTGTTACCTTTTTATTTTTATTATTTTCAATTGGGAATCTTGCTCGAAAAATTTTCTCTGGATCCGCTTGTTCACTTTTATACTAAGCATGTTACATAAATCAATTTATTTCTTTTTCTCAATTTTCACTTGTATTTATCATTCTTACCAATCGTTTTATTTTGATTTGGTGTTGATAGCAACATCTAAACATGGATGGAGACCAGCCCTGGCTGGATGGTCTCCATCCATGATTTAGTGTTGTTAATTAACTATTCTAGTGTCATTCACATACTCACTTGTATCTTCTCACATGCACGCATCCCATACCCAAATTAAATCCCACTTCTCTTTCAGCAACCCAACTTATTTATTGCACTCCTTTTAGTATTTCAATTTTCTTGGCTATACAAAGAAGTTTAAAATTACGGTTCTTACCTGCTCATAATAATGTAACAGTCTAAGAATGAAATTATTATTTTTTAGTTTTAGTCGTCTTTAACATCATTTAGGAGTGGATGTTAGATGATATATATGTGGACTTTATTTTATCACTGTTTTACTGAAAATTTTTGGATCGGCTAATTGAAAAAAGAAAGCTATTCAATTTGTTGTCTTGCGGCAATTTTTCTTGGCCTCATCTAGTTGCCGAACAAAAATAGAATAAGTGGTGACGCAAGATTTTAGCGTGGAAGATTTTATGTATAGTTTGGTGCTGAACTAATATGAATTGAAAGATAACTAAGCCGTAATAATAAAGGGAAGTAGATAAGACTGTAGATTCGAATAAAGAAACAGGATAACTAAACTAGCAACACACAATTTGACTGGTTTTTCTTCTAGCTTACACTAGTAATTGGATAAATTCACTTACACGACAAAGAATTTTTATTCGTCAGTCAACGCAAAATATTGTAACATAGCATCATATTCCTAAAGAACCTTATTTATAGAATTTTCTTCTATATCAAATTGATGTGCTCAGCAAAAATTTTCTTTAAGTGACTATAACTAAAAAACAACCATGATGCTGAATGGCCGAAAATTTTCAATATATATACTCACACAAACACACAGACACTAAAAACAATTTGACCCTAAAGATTAGGGAGTTCCATTAATTTTATCGGACTATGAAACACTATTCCTCGAGATAGTGTAATTGGCAACACGCTAGAAGTTAGCCTGACCATTTATTTTAAATGTATTATTAAAAGCTGGCTAGTACTTCCAATGAAGGGAAGATAAGTATAACAAAAGATGTCATTGGAGTTGCTCTTGGTAAAGTAGAAAATTCAGGTGTAGAAATATCAATACAAATTATTAGAGGCTTGAAAATGTTTTGATTATGTAACAGATTTTCAATGTAGAGACTACGATTAAAATTCATGTGCAAGTTAGGTACATATACATCATAACTTAGCTTTCAAAAAAATCTGATAAGACTGGGATGCTCTAGGTGGTTGTACCTTTTAAGTGAAGTGCAAAATGTTCTAGGATAGATGTAAACAAATAGATGTAAACAAAGAAATAGTACATTATTTGAACTTCTTACGCTGCAATGCACAATCTTGCTTCAGATTTTCATAATGCATAGCATGTCTATGGCTATAGTTTGCTTGCAACCCAAGTATGTAATCAATGAGTCATTTGATATGATGAAGGTCAAGGTGATTCCATAGGAAGTGAAGCCTAAAAGTTGTCTAAGGAATATACAAGATATGTTTTCAAAAGGAGGCTCACAGACAATGCCAATGGTAGTTTTGGTGTGAATAATTTCAACAGGAGACAAAGTTATAGATCCTATAACCTATTTATCCTGCCCAAGCATCATAAAAGAGTTGTTTGAACATTTGTTAACCAAGTAATAACTTTCTTTAAAAATCTCTGCCAACACCTAGTTATAGTTCATTAGATTACTTGACAATAGGTCAATGTGCTCCTTCGGAAATAATGAATGATGGAGTGAAGGAGGAAACTAAATATTACAAATTAAAACAATGGGTTACTAAACAAGGAGTGATCAATCAAATTTAATCTTGTAGGCTCCATTCATATTTAGGCTCTACATGGAACGCCATCCAGAGGTTAGTACTGTTATTGTAAGTCTTTGTCATGATCAGTACGAGCTTGCTGGACTATATATGCTTAGTAGGATTTTGAAGGTCCTAAAGTGAAGGTAGTTCTAGTTCTTGTTAAGAATCTCACTACTAGGATGAATATGAGTGAGTTTACAAGATCTTGCCTTGGAGACAGTAGACAATTGTGCAATAGTGAGAAGAGGGGAGAAATTGAGATATGTCCCAATTTCCAAGGTTCTATTGTAAGCTTCATCTAGATTCCCATGATAAAAATGTTTCATTCTTGCTTGATGTTTGCTTAAGGCGATCAAAAAATTAGGATATTTTAACCTATGGATTTTTATTTAGGCAACATCCAGATTACATACCTATCATAATACTGAATGACCTTTCAAGTTTCTTTCCCAAATAGTTTATATTCAATTAATTGTCGTACAAAAGACAAGTGTGATGTAATCCTACAAATTAAATAACTATAAGTTTTATTCCAATGCGAGTTATGATAATTGTTATGATTTCCTTATTGATATTTATATTGATATTCTATTGTCTTAACAAAATGTTAATTTTAGCTCTATGCAATGAAAGTTGACATGCTTATATTTTAGAAGAATAGAGATGCATAGTGTCATGGACTTGCAACCTAAAGAAATGTTATGATTATTTCATTATGCTCATAATATAATATATTGGATGGATAATTTGACTTTAATTTTAACATAAAACTTGCAAGTGTCAAAATTACAATGAAGTCAACTAGATCCTGTCATCCTGGAAATATCATGTGGTTGACAAGAGTTAAATGTTTAACTTGAAGTCAAATACCTTAATTTATAAAACAATCCAATTTGAAACCTTAATTTTTGCCATTTAGGGGATGATTCAGGGGTTGCTTGGTTGGACTATAAAGTGGTGAAAAATATTCCAAATGCAGGAGTTTTAAAAATTTTGGTGTTTGGTTGGAATACAAAATGGAGCAAAGTAAAATAAATGTAGTGTAAATCATTTTAGTTTATTTTTTAAGTAAACCAAATTTGCCCAGTTTTGAGCTAGAACTGTTTACATCACAAGCAAGCTCGCTTGACTGTCGCCCACCATCACAGGCCACCCCCACTTTGGCCGCCACCACTGCTGGCCACCACCATTGCCGACCACCAACTACTGTCGGCCACCACAACCATCAGGTGCCCCCACTGCTGGCCATCACCACCTGTAGTCCCTGCCTCCAGCCACCACCTCCACCAGCTTCCCTTCACTAGCGGCCGCAATCACTGGCCGCTAGCTAAACCACTGCCAGTCGACACTGCCACCTGCCATTGGCTACCACCATCATTAGCTACCACCATTTTTGGACTTTAGATTACATTCATTACTTAAAAAAAAAATTATTCACTTGTATTTATTTTACATTCATCCAAAAAACCTCAAAGTATTACTTTTATACTGCATTCATTTTACAATACATTCCTTTACACATTGCATTCCTTTTTTAGCCAACCAAGCAACCCCTTAGGAATGATATTTGAGCGCCTTGAGTAGGAGCAAAGGCCAAGCAAGACGTCTGCCTTGTAGAAGAATGTGAGATGATTGATTTGGAGGGAAGTCAATCTGATTAGATTAGTTTGCTCGATGTGATTTAAGCTATTTTTTGTTTTATTTAGAAAGGAATGATGAAAGCTCTCAAATTTACGTGTGCACGTGAAGGTGCAATGTTGAAAGGTGATTGAAGGAAGGGGAGATAGGACTTGTTTTGGAGAGATTGCTAGTTGTTAATTTTGATTCGAGATGATAGGAGGTTGTGGGTTTTGATTTGATTTGAAACTGAGAAAAGGGGTTGTTGAAGCTTTGATGTTGATGACATGATGTAATTCGTTGAGGCATAGGACTTTTTTTGGATTTTAATTTGACTTGGATCTTGTTTAGATTTGTTAAAATATGGCTGGGTAGAAATTTTTTATGGGAATTTCTGGGAACATAAGGGAAATAAGACATTTTAAGATGAAGGTCTTTAAATTCGAAATTACGGCATAGAATAATAAAATGAAATACCATTGATGTAGTATCTGTTGTCATCAAATTTGATACAAAACAAGATTTTGGAAGTCCTTATGAATAATAACATGGATTATTGTTGAAATACATATGAGTTGAAAGATAATAATGTACAGAAGCAATAGATGGGGAGATTGATTTCAATAATGAAAAAAGGAAAAAAATCAAATTGGTGGGGCAGGATTTCTGTTGCTTTTATTCAATCTCCAAACTTAGAATTAAAGGAACTTCCATCGACTGCAAATAATTCTTATTAATCATCATCCTAACATAGATGAAATAACATCATATCATAAGGCATCCTAGAAATAGAATAGTTTCTCAATAAAACTAAAAAACTCAATAAAAAATGTTTAATATGACATTGCAAAAGTTAATATGATAATGGAGTTCAAATGACAAAATGTTTGAAATGATCACCTTAAAAATAAAATGACTATCAAATTGGGCGTCCCCATGGAGGGCCATGAGTCTTGGTAAATAAGCTTTTAATAGTTTCTGAAGCACATCAAGTTTAACTGTTGAAGAGTTCTCAGAGTGCTTGTTGTTGGGATCAGGGGTTAACCGGACTTCAAGTTTTCTCATGTTTAGCTCGCTCTGGCCATGAACAAGTTAAAAAAAAGTACATTTTACATGAAACTTAAACCATGCACAAATCCAGTTAACAAGCCTGTCTGGTTCAGCTACCCAACCAAATTTAAAACATATACATTTGTGGTTTAGGGAAGTTTCCTGAATAAATTTATCATAATAACAAACTAAAATTCATGATTTTATAGGCATTCCTGGTAAAGAGGAGTACAATGCTTGAATGCTCCTATGGATGATAATTCTATTTGATTATGTATTGTTCTGATTTAATCTTTTGCTAATTTATGGGTGCTTCCTTTTTTTTTTTCTGGGTACTTTGCAGTGTGATCCTTTTTCCTATAGCGATCACCTTCTACATAACCTGGTGGTTCATTCATTTTGTTGATGGATTTTTCTCTCCAATTTATGCCCAACTTGGGATAGATATATTCGGTATGCAACCAATAATTCATTAAACTCTCTTTTGGATTTACTTATTCTATTTAGTTATTTAAAAAAATAAAATTAACTTTTATTAATGCTTGTCAAAACCATTGCCTAATTGTTCTTGAATGACAGTTTCAATTATTTATTCACTTTCTTGTACTGTAATGGTTCTTGGAGTTATTGTTGGAACCTCAAATCTAATAACTGTGATCATTGCTCTAACCGTCCTCAGAAACTTATATTAGTAAACTGCATTTTGCTTTATTATTAATCCTTTATTTTGAGCACACGTATGTGTTGTCCATCTGAGTGTATGACATTCTATCATGATATGGTGTGCATTTTCTATTTTGACTTAATCTTTCATCAAGAGATGAATATTTTCTTAACTGGCCTTTCTTCACCAATGATTCCGACCTTCAACTGGCACTGTGGTAGTCAAAGTCGTATGCTATTTCATTGTATTTGTATTGTTTTCTATCCAGATTTTGTGCTTACCAATTTGGATGTTGTTTCAACTTTGTTCCTTTATGTTTTTATCTTACGTTCTGCAGTTATAATTTTGGGATTTTTAGCTTGTTCATATGAATCCACTTTATTGTTCATTATTAAAATCAGTGTAACATAGTTTCTGATCAATTACTAATTTTTCTGAGAAATCCTTCAGACTCACAATGATTATGAAGTGTTTCGGTTGCAACTTCTCAATTTTTTTACTAGATATTTGATAGGAAATACTTGACTTCGCAAGTAATCCTATCGGATTTACTTGAGTTCACAAGCAACCGTAGCAATAATTGATTTAAAACAGCGAGAAAAACAAGAAAAACTGGACAAATCAATCTAGAAAAGATAGATTGCGATAGTGAAAACAAAGCAAAGCAAAACTCAAAGCAAGATACAATTGATCCTCAATTCGAGAGGAGGATCGTCTCTCCCAAATATCTAGACAAGAGAGTCTAGAGCCCTAGTCGCTAAAAAATCCTAATTCCAATCAATCAAAACATAATCCCTCATAATCCTCTCATGCTCTCTAATACAAAAGCTTTTCTAATCTAATTTCCCTCCCAAGCCCTAGCCGCCCCCTCCTTTTCAATTTGAATTAAAGTAGACAAGTGGGGCCCATCCTTTGGGTGGAAAAGACTAGGGGAGGCGGATTGTTTCCGCCTCCTATTGAAAAGCAAGGGCCGGCTGGGCCGGTTCAGGGTGAACCGGCCTATCAATATTGTCATGTAGGCACGAAACAGTTATTTTCAGTATTTTTACAGATCTGTCGTGGTAGATTCTTGATATCATCTTTTTTAAAAATTTTGTATCAAGTTTGACATTAAAACTTCTTGCTGTTTTGGTGATTATTGCTGTTCTAGAAAATAAATTGTACTAATGCAAGCTAATTATTATAAAATTTAAAAATGAAATATTTCTTTGTATAAATGAATGCTCAAGTTTGATATTATGAACTTCAAACTACAATCTACTTCTATAGCAAATTGTTTACTTCTATACCAAAGGAAATCCCTAAATAGTACCTACATTCAAATTTCCCTCCTAACTCCCCCAAAAATCCTTCCTAACTCGCTCCGTTGTCTTTGGCGGCTCGGCCGCGTGTACAGGAGAGGCGGAATGCTTCCGCCTCTGTTCCGCCTGAGTCGGTCCCGTATGGACTAGCTGAATTAGTCCAGTGGACCGGTCTAACAATACTCCCCTCCCAAAGACCCATCTTGCCCTCAAGGTGGAACAAACAGAACTGCTGTTGAAACACTTGACTAATACCACTGGATTGAAAAATGGACTGACACTAGGTCGAATGATCCCTGCCGCAAGCATCTCATTGATTAATCTCTCAATCTTTTCGTTCTGGATTTGGGGATGACAATATAGATGAACACTAATAGGTGGGACTCCTTCCTTCAATATGATAACATACTCACGTTCCCGCGAAGGATTCAACCCTTGAACTTGCTAGAACACCTCTCGATAATGTTGTAGGGGTGGTGGAATCATGCATGGTGCTTCTATCTTCTCCTCATCTTTTTCGTCTTCCAAATTCTGCAGCTCTGTTGACCTCTACATATGTGGCACGTAAGACATCGTTTAGAACGAAGATCGGAGTGCCTCGATCATAATGATATGATTAAAATTTTGTTCGATTATAAAATGGATCATATCGATGCATTCTAGATATCAAATATACCAACAAGAAGTTGTTCGTATGCGACAATGTGTTAGTGGATGCGATGCTAGCAAAAACTATCCAAGCTAGCAAAAACTATCCAAATGACCTCCACTTGTTAAACAAGCTTCGTTGATGAGTTTAGAGCATCAAATTTAACCAAAGAGGGATCCCTCACAATCAAATTGAACGAAAGCGATCGAAATCAACAGACTACGTACATACTCGATGTTGCTTGACGTTGCTCAAACATCGTCCTTTTACAAAACAAATTTCTTCGATATGTCCAGAATGTCAAAAATACTAGAAAATGACTTAAATTGTATGGATCATTGTACAAGTGAAAATATAAAATGTTGACGGCTTTTGAGACGATGACAACAAGTAAATTGCGATGCGCGATAATTGAAAATTTGTCGGCAGATAAGATATGATGGGTGAAAAGTCATTAAAAAAATCAATCAAATCTAAAGACAATTTCATTATCTCAAAAACGTGTAAATCATTCAGCTATATATGTGCATATCTACATCCACATGTCTTTTGTTAAACAATCTTTTGTAACTCTGTATACTTGCATGTTACCCACGCAAGCAAATCCACCACCCAAGCTAACCATGTCTTGTCTACGTGTTTCATTCTCCTTCTGTACACCGTCTCAAGCTCAGTACACCTCATGCAAGTCCCATGTCAGCTCATTGAATCTTTTGGTTATATGCTTTGCTCTCCCATTTTTCTACGGGTCCTTCTCATTCTCTCGACCAACTGCTCCACGGAGCTCCCAACAGTCCTCTTCCTCCAATTACCCGTACACCATCTCTTGTGTCTACTCTAAGCTTCAGTTCCTAATTGTCGTTCTGAGTCCCTCCAACAACCAACCTACAGCTCACGACACTCAACCTAACTGCTCATGTCCTCTACCCGTCACTCTCCCATTCTCTTCAATTTGTAAGCTAACCGCAAGCCCAAGCCCTTCCCAGTTTCGACCTCAATCAAAACCTACACACCTCTTTTCAATTTCCTGTAAATATATTTCTAAAAAAAAAATCAGAAAAGAAATATAAAAAAAAAAAAACATCATTAGCCTTGCCATAAATCTCTGTCGTCGTCGTCGTCTTGCTCGTTTGTTAAGGTATATTATTCGCCAAATTTTAAAGCTCAAATCCTGTCTTCGGCTTTCGCGACGCACCGGAGAACCGACCATACACGCCTTTATTGCGTGTGGTGGGATGAAAGCCCGGTGCGATGCCTACGGCGAGGCGAGGTTATGTATAAGTACCCGTACGCGGGGAAATAATTGTGCTTTCAAACAGGTACATTCAAAGAGCTCATACACGCATTTATTGCGCGTGGTGGGAAGAAAGTATACGGCCGCGGTGTCTACATAAATGGACACCAACCATACACGCCTTTATTGCTTGTGGTGGGGATGCCTAGAATTCCTGTAGATGCCCCCAACGCGGGGGAGACGTCGGAATACTGCCAAAATTTTGACGATCAAAAGCCTGAATAAAATAATTTGATATTTCTTAAGCTCAAACAAAAAAAAAATTGAGATATTTCTTTCACTCAAATTAAATAATTTTTGGAGATTTCTTGAACTCAAATTAAATAAAATTTAAAAGAATATTGTTGCTATATTATGATAGTAACTTCGATAAATATTAATTCAAGGCATAAGTTGATTGAGTGGACTAAGATATAATCAATAGAATGGAAAAATATTGTCTTATAGAGCCATCCGTAAGTGTTCATAACTATCAAAGACATGGACACTACATGTAAGAAGAAATTGATGCAGCCGAAGGAAATTAAATTTTAGTAACAAGTGGAAATAAAGTTCTCATATAAGGCAATGAAATAAGATAGCAATGATTTTAGTAAGATTTTTTTTATGCAAAATGTGACTTTTTCAAAGATCTTGTTTAAAATCAACGCCACCGGATCCGCAACACTTTTACAAGCGGACAGAAGGCGTTTAATGCCCCCTTCTACATTCAAAAATAAGTTTCTCAATTTCAATATAATGTATCGGGCAGAGTGTTGACACCTCTAAAATGCGTGTAGCAGCCTTGGGAAGCAAGCGACTGCCCCGAGAAGAGTGCTACCGCCTTGAGAAGCAAGTCATAACATCGAGAAGCGTGCATATTAAATTTTAAAAGCCTAATATACGTGTTATTTAATCCCCGATGATGGCCGTGTTGAATGTCTATATCAACCGGAGGGGTCTCTACACCTTTAAATACCTCCAAATGTTTATGAAATGCAAATGTTTCTCAATGGCTACAATAAAGCCCTGATGATGGCCGTATTGAATGGTTATATCAATCGAAGGGGATCAAGTATTCCAAATGCCCTCAAATTTCTACAAAATATAAAAATTTTCAAATGACTCTAATTCATCCTCGATGATGGCCGTGTTGAAAGCTAATCTCAACCGTAGGGGACTTTAAAACATGCATATTTGGAACAAAATCTTGATAAATTTTATAACATTCAAATAAAATTTATTATTTAAAACTTAAAGCAAAAATTCAACCATCATCTGCAAACGTTTGTCAAGGATGATAAATTTCAAAATAACTTTAACTCATAAAGAGCAAAAATGTCTAATCGAATGTATCACTGCGATTCATTCTCAAATGATTTCTCGCCAGCGAGGACATGGCATGTGCCCTCTGACCGGGTGGTCTTGCTGCAAAATAGCACCACTATATTACGGTTACGGTCAAAGCCTGTATGTTCTCCAATAGTTAAAAGCCCCTTGAGTAATGAATCATAGGGTGCACTCAATAAGACACAAAGCTTTCTGTTAGCTAAGGTTGACTAAAAC